CCTGCTGGCAGTGTTGGTTATGAACTCTTCTTCATCTGACTGGTTTTCAGTCTCATCTCCTGATGTTAGTTTATTTCCATCAAAATGTTTTAGATGAACAAACATGAACATCCAGATAATTCATTGGTTGTTTACATCCTGTAGGTGAAAATTAATTAGTTCATATTTTGAAAGCAGATTTTCAGATGAACATGTTAGCTCCTGCGCTAGTTTGTCCATTTATTACTCTAAAAGTAATACACTGTTGCTGTGGCTAACAGTTTGCTCTTTCAGCGACCTCTGACCTCTACAAAGGTTGGCACAAATAATTGTTGAACCACAGTGACACCCAGTGGCCACAGCGTGACACAGCGTGGACTTTATAGCTCATAAACCAAGAATGAACCCAGTTTGAGATTCTGAGTGAAAAACCTAACGCTCTAAATTTCCTCCACGATTCACCAACATGAAGACAACTGTAAGAGTTCACAGAGTCAACAACAATGTTTACATCATGATATAAAATACTTTGAAAGTTGGGTTATTCCAAGTGTATCAAGATAAATTGATGATTATTTAGTCAGATAAATAAATACTCATAAAACTTTATTTTCTAATATAATTGGTGCTTTAGGGAAAGAGAATAAAACACAAATATCCACCTCGCCTGGTGACGTCTGGACGTTCAGTCCCTCTCTGCAGCCGATCCGACTCTCATTTGCCTGCTGCAATGTACCGTAAAGAACTTAATGAAGTCTGTTTTGTTAAAGCGGACATGCAAACAGCGGCCATGTCATCATCACTTCACCTCCGTAAAATGTTCTGTATGAAGGTCTGAGCAGAGAGCAGCAGTCAGAGACACTGAGCAGGTACGGCTTCATGGTTTACAGTCAGAAGTTCATTTCTATCTTATTGTTCTCTGGTTGTTCTGATGGTTCCTTAGATTTTATAAGAAAAGTATTTAATTTACCTCAACCAGACAGTGTTGGCCTTTAAACGTTTATTTTTGTTTGATTGCTTAAGCCTCACATGATCAATAGTTCTATAATTACATACTGCTAGAGTTGAACAGGTTTCTAAGGAGACTGTAAGTAATTTTTTAAAATGTATTTCTGACCCGTAGTTTCTGTCTTCAGTATTTAAACAGAGTTGATGCAACATTAAAGATTATTGTGAATATATTAAGTGCAAACACTGATTTGATTCTTTAGATGTATGATTTTAGATGTTCTGAACTTGACTGATTATCTACTTCACTAAGATCTATCGGTTTTATAACTCTGAACTTCAATGAGATATTTAAAGTTTTTAAAATCTGCTCCATTTAATTTCTGAAGTTATCAAAATGAAAATATGAATGTTGTTTCTAGATTGAGATTTTTAATCAATTCAAATCAAAGTGTGACTGAGTTGAACTTTACTGATTGTAAAATAATTAATGTAAGCAACTAGAAGTGAAACATTAAGTCAAAACAGTAAATAGATTGCAAAATAAAGCTTTAAACAAAACTAAGGAAAGTTTTAACCCAGTGAATAATTAAATTTATATGTTAATCCACTTCAGATGCATTGTGGGTCCATATCAACCTGACTGTGTTCATCTGGTTCTGACCCATTTAGAAATGGTAAAAGACCCAGTTTGGTTCCACATGTTTCCAGTGATTTGAACATTTAAGTTCATCTAACATGGCTGCCATCCTGGTCTGGGATCTTCCTGTGTGAAGGTAGCATGTTCTCCCTCCTGCCACTTCCTGTCGTCTTCTTCGTTTCCTCCTGTAGTAACATCCTGCTGCTGATCATGTGACTCGTGTGATGCAGAAAACGTGTTTCCAGGGGAGTTTGTATCTGCCAAAATAAGACCTCATCCTAAAGCAACAACTTTTTATCAAAGAGCAAATCTATTTTTGGAATTTCAATTTTAAATTATGAGTCAATCAATGCTGAAATATGGTCAGAAATATTGAATTCATGTTGAAGATTGACATTTAAATTATACAGAAAGTGGTTGGTAACTTATGTTGAGGTTTTCAACCATAACTGATACTTTATCAATATTGATTCATGTCAACATATGAATTTAAAACGTCTGGCCAATGATAAACTGACATTTCAATGATTACAAATCAACATCTTTTCAACAATAATGTTAACTGGCTAAAATTGGGTGACTGTCTTTTTTTTCCCATAATCCAACAGTGAATTAGCATCGTTAGCTGCTTGCAGTCTGATGGTTCCACTGGGACCAGAACCTTCGCTCCTGCTGTGTTCTGCTCTGCAGGGCTCGTCTCCACAGACATGATGGTTAACTGGTCCGTCCCGTCTAACACTTCGGTTCATCTCCAGTCCAACTACTGCCAGGAATCCCATGTTTCCATTTTCGCCACCGCCTTCCTCAGCACCAGAACCGTCCTCATCGTGCCTTTTGCCGTGTGGGTCCTGTACTTGGGTCATCGGCGGCGGTGGCAGCGGCAGCAGCCCATCAGCCACTGTGATGTCATCACCTACCACATGGTCCTCATGCAGCTGGCCGAAGCTCCAGGCCTGCTCTGCTATCTGTTGGGATATGTGGTTCCAAGCCTGTCTGTAGTTGGTTTCTCTATTTTATCACTGACTGTTGTTGGGGAGATTCTGTTCCACGTGTTGACCTGTGTGGAGCACTACCTGGCCGTCATCCACCCCATGACCTACCTGAAGCTGAAGAACAGCAGCGGGGTCACCATCAGACATGTTTGCGTCGGAGCCGTCTGGGTTTTTGCTCTTGCCTGGGGGGCGCTGGTTGTCCTGTACTTCCCTGCCATCCCCTTCCTCCAACTTTTCTCCTTGTCAAGCCTCAGTTTTGCCGTGGTTTCCTTCTGCAGCCTCTCGGTTCTCTGCGTTCTGGTTCGTCCGAGGCCTGGGGGCGTGTCCGGAGACCGAGTCCACCGCGCAAAGAAAAAGGCTTTCAAAACCATAATGACTATAACAGGAGCGCTGTGGATGTTGTTCCTAGGATACTTTGCTTGCTTTGCTTTAAAAGTGTCGACCTCGATGAGCTACAGTGATTGGTGTTTGGTTGCTGCATGTGTAGTTTGGTTCAGTTTGCCCAGCAGTTTGGCCGTTCCACTGCTGTTCCTGCACAGAGCAGAGCAAAAAACATGCTGTGCTGTGCAAATAACGCATGAAGGAGATAAAAACAAGACTTTATGTAACGGTGACTGTTGTAAAATGAGCACACATTCATACAGAGAAGTTTATCAAGTCTATTTCATGCCTAAAGTCCAGTAGAGCCTGATGTTCACGGAAAGTTTTCCATTATATAAAAAACAGGATTTTATTGCCTTTGTAGTAAAAACAAGTCAAATATTTATGAGATTATTAATCAATGTTACTTGTGTGATCAGACCTGGTGAGTTTTTATATTTAATATTTACTGTTTAACAGGCAGATCCAGATGAATGACAGAACATGCAGACAGAATCTGAGCCCATTGCTACCATGATGTGAAATAATATTCAAATAGTTTTATCACTTTGCTTGTCAGTAGAAAAAAAAAACATTTAAAGAATAAATTTGCCTTTTGCAGCGTTCCATGAAACGTGTCCTAAATTCTTGCATTAATTTGCAACATTTAAACACACAATCAGTCAGGAATAAAAGTCCTAGTTCAAACCTTCATCCAGACATGAGCAGCAAACTGAAGGTCCAGAGAGTTTAAGCCATGAAGCTCTGGAGAAAACAAAGATGAAGCTTCATTGAGAAATAGGAACAGATAGTTTGAGTTATGAGTAATAACCAGTAAGTACACATCATTTTATTTTGTCATAAAGATACAATTTAATTGCACTGATGATTAATTGTGTTGAAGTTTAAATGGACCAACTGAATTTGGACATTCATTAATAAACTTCACCTGCAGGTGAAAAAGAGCCGCTGTTGCCAGAGCAACAGGTGTATTTGAATACACACCTGGTTCTGTTCACATCATTTAAGATCTGAAAGATGTTTGTTTTAATATGCAGGCAAAATGCAGCTGATGCATCAACACCTCAAATTATTCGTGACTGAACTTTGAATACCTCATTCATCAATCTCTGGAAGAATATTCAATATAGTGTTTTTATTACGTTTGATATTTTAAACTATTGTACATTTATAGTTGGAATTAATGCAAAAAAATACTAATTTTGGGATCCTAATGCTCTGACCTCAAGTTAAAACAATAATGAGGAAAATTTGTTGTTTGCCTCCAACAAATGAAATCGTCTCGTTTGTTTGTCACAAACAGATACAGTAAAAAATACTTTCTCAAGTTTTTTCATTTGTTTGTCTTCATGGACTGTCAGCTGATTTTATAACATTTACGCTGGATTTTTTTTCTATTTTAACTTCCCAACTCAAAATTAAAATCTTTCTTTAATAATTGAAGTTAGAAACATTAGTTTGACCAATCATCCGTCTCCCGAGAAATGCAAAAACCAAAGACACAAGAGCATCAGTTCAGACTCTACAGACTTCACTTAGCATGCTAATCATGCTAATTATGCTAATCATGCTAATGTTCAAAACTTCAGTTAGCATGCTAATTATGGTAATCATGCTAATGTTCAAAACACTCCAGCACCGTTTGACTGAAAGTGTCCGAAGAGAAAAACTCTTTTCTCTCAACATGTGAGATGAATGTATTGAACAGTAAATTCTCCTCAGTTAGACGACTTCAGTGACTAATGATGGCATTTTATCAGGTAAAATATGATATATTCTATTAGTGGAGCTGGTTATGGAGAGAAAGAAACCAGAAAATGTAAATCGATTTCAAACAGTTTCCGATTTCTTCTGCATTTTGTGAGAATATTTAAATAAATTTGCCTCATTTTTGAGGATAACGAGGCAACTCATTGGAAATATACATGTGGACGCCACATGGAAGGTCTGTTTTACTGAATCTTTATCATTAATATTTCTTGTTTCTCTATAAATTATTGAAATTACTTTATTGCCAAAAACTGTTTATGGTGAGGAAGAAAAACCCAAGAGACAAAGACTTCCTGATAAGTTTTATTGGAGATATTTCAGCTTTAAAAGCCAGAAACACTTTGAGATAAATAAGTGCAGAGTCCTTTGTGCTACGATGCTGCCTGTGCAGCCTTGTGGCTCTTCATGTGCGTCTTCAGGCAGTGGCTCTGAGTGAAGGCCTTCTCGCACAGGGAACACTTGTACGGTTTCTCTCCGTTGTGCGTCCTCATGTGGACGGTGAGGTAAGTTCTCCTGGCGCACGTTTTCCCACAGATCCCACACACGTACGGTTTGGCTCCCGTGTGGATCGCCACGTGGTCGTCCAGGTGAGTCTTCCGTTTAAAGGACCAGCCGCAGTGAGGACAGCGGTACGGTGTCTCCCCGGTGTGGACCCGCATGTGTATGGTCAGCGGCCCCCTGGTGGTGAAGCCCTTCCCGCAGCGCTCGCAGCGGTACGGCTTCTCGTTGGTGTGCGTCCTCATGTGGATGACGAGCTGCTTGCTGGTCAGGAACATCTTGCAGCAGACGTCGCAGAGGTACGGTCTCTCTCTGTTCATGTGAATCTTCTCGTGTTGCTTCAGAGTGGTAGCCAGCTTGAAGCCCCTCTCACAGATCTGGCATCTGTGGGGTCTTTCTCCAGAGTGCGTCATCTTGTGGCGGGACAAAGATCTGTTGCTGCTCAGGAATTTGCCGCAGACTCCACAGAGGTACGTTTTACGTTTCCTGTGCGTCCTGTGATGAGCCTTTAGCTGCGTCTCCACCTCAAACAGCTCGTGGCAAGTGGGGCATTCGTGACGGAGTTTGTGCTTGTTCTCCAGAGGCAACCCAGACACAAACGAGCTGACCTCAGGTTGGACAGGTTGCTGTCCTGAATGGACCTTCAGGGGGTCACTCAGACTGAGGGACAGCTGTCCAGGGATGGCTGTCTCTTGAGAGTCATCTGTTCTGTGCTCACTATGAAAACGATTCTTTGATGCCTCACCTGACTCTCCACAGACTCCACAAACACTTCCTGTTTCCTCCATGTGTCTCCAGGTGTGTTTAATGACAGCAACCTCAGATTTCTGGGCAGTTTTACAGACTTTACAGGAAAAACCCGTTTCTGTCCAAACGTCTTCAGACGGATTGACTTCTTCTTTCTCATTCATGAGCTTGGGGTTTTGCTTTTCCCGTTCATCACTGACATCTAGTTTCCAGCTGCTGTTGCTTCGGTTTGTCTCTCCTTCATTCCCATCAGCTGCATCTCCATCCATCTGAGCAGCAGGAGGCGCCGTGGAGTCGTCACCTGACACTGACGTCATTAGAGGATCATCTTCTGTTTCCCTACGATGTTGTTGTGATGATTTCCTTCCAAGAAAACAAATTAAATCAAGAAAAAGAATGAACTGTTTGTTTTATGAAATATTTCTTTAGATATGTTGATGATAGTTTTATTTATTGTTAATCCTGAAGTATTCAGTCCAAAAACAATAGTTTTACAGAATTACGCCTTTTAAATTACTGAAAATGTACAATAAAATATAACTTGTTCACCCAAATTCTTGTTTTTATAAGTTATTGAAGATTTTTGTTTCATACTCAAATGAATAGAAGCTATAACTTTATCTGGACGTCTTACCTCATCTCCTCACTGACCAACATGGCAGAACTTTTCTCCATCTGAAGAGAAGGAATTTCCTCCTGAATTTCCTTCTTTGTCTAGAAAATAAAAAACATCAGAACCTGAAAACTAAACACTGCAGAGCAACAAAACAAGCCAAGAGCCAGAACTTCTGTCCCACCTTGAGTCTGATGTAGACTGTAGGCTTTCTGAGCCGTGTGGATTTGACGTTTCTGACGATCTCCTCAGGCGTCACCGTACTCAGAGTCAGACGCTGAAGTCTCCGCCGCTTATCCAACGTCCAGATGTGAAAAGGTTTGTCGTCTGCAGCCAGCTGGGGGACAGCAGACCGGAGCAGGCTCAGAAAGTCCAACTCCTGCAGGCCTAGAGGACACTTCAGGGACACCAGAGGACATTTCTTCACCACTGGAAGCAGAGAAACACGGAAACATTAAAACGAATTGAACTAACATTTCAAATTGTCTATTTCTGGGAGAAATAAACAGTTATGGTACCGGTTTTGGACAGGATGCTGATGCTGGAGTCCTTCAGGACGCGGATGCTGAGGTGGATGGCGCTCTGTGCTTCACTGACCTGAAATCTGCCAGGACTCCTTCCATCAGAGCTGAAGACGAGAACCAGGTTAACGGACATTATTATGTGTAATAGGTCATCTACTGATCAGATCAGCAGCCGGAACCTTGATGAAGCAGTTTGGGTCTGACTCTTCAGACAATCATCACCCTCCTCTTCCTCAGCTGATCCATCGCTTTTGCTGGATGGTAAATCTGGAAAAACGTCAAATGAAAGAGGGTAAATGTTTCACTTATTAACGTTACAACAAAGCCGAATTAAAGACAATTATGAGTTGTTTTAAGATAACACACAGTTTTGTTCCTAATATTATCGAAACGGAAAATTTTGAAGAAAAAGCTTAAAAACTGTATATATTTAACGGAGTTCCGCATGCAGCACAGCGCTCTGTAACTATGAATGAGTGAAAGACACGAACCGTTTGTCCCGACAGTGAGCTGGTTCTGGAGCTGGTTCTGGAGCTGGTTCCGGGGCTGGTCCAGCTGGTTCCGGAGCTGGTTCTGGAGCTGGTTCTGGGGCTGGTCCAGCTGGTTCCGGAGCAGCTCCAGCTGGTTCCTCTGCCGGCGGATCTCCAGGCGGAACCCCGAGGCCTCCTCCTCATACCCGGACACCACCGCCTCCACCGCCCCCAGGATCTCCCGGGACACCGCGGCCAGCCTCTCGGTCACAAACCCCCGCAGAAACTCCGCGTGGTTCCGCTCAACGGGACTCTCCACCGGGTCCTCCTTCATCTCTGAGCCCGATACGGTTCACTGTTTCAGGGGAAATGTCATCCACTGTCCGCTGTGTTTACTGGAGCTGCTTCTTCTGGTCAAGTTTAAGCGCAGTTTGACGCCTTCATGGTGCTCTATCGCCCCCTGCTGGTACTGACTCAGTATTTCATTCTGTAAAATTATTTTTAGTGGCCAAAAGTGGAGAAAATCTTTAGATTCCCTCACTAGATGAAAATATGTTTTTGGATTCTTAGTATGACAAAACACACAAAAACCAAATATAACCATGTTTTATGCAAAATATAAATAAGTTCATATATTACTTTTTCTTTTCTTTTTTTTTAAATAAAATAAAAACACCAGATATTTTTATAGAGTTCTGCCTGCAGCTCAGTGCTCTGTTAGATAAACTGTGAATGGATGTTTGATTTCTCAACATAAAAAAGCAAAGGAGACGAAAATAAATAAATAAATAAATAAATAAATAAATAAATAAATAATAAATGCATCAAGCGTCTTTTCATTTCCTAAACAAACAGCTGCTGGTGTGTTTACTTTTGATCAGAAAATCCAGTCCAATTATTTTATTTAGGTTTTTTACAGCATAAATTGGTTGGAGTTTTGTAAAGCAGCTATTTCACATTTACGTTTGGAAAACAGTTTATGTCAGAAGTGATGCTCTGTGGTCACATCACTGATGACGTTTTCATACACATCGTCCAATCCCTGCCCAGCGTGGAAGGATGAGGTCATTTCCTCTGACGCAGGCAGGTCGTTTGCTAAATTTAGAGGGACATATATATATATATATATATATATATATATATATATATATATATATATATATATATATATATATATATATATATATATATATATATATATATATATATATATATATATATATATATATATATATATTTCCCTTCTCACCCACCGCGGGTGGTTCTTATCCTCTGAGCTCGGGTCCTCTACCAGAGGCCTGGGAGCTTGAGGGTCCTGCAGTATCTTGGCTGTGCCAAGGACTGCTGCACATTTCTGGACTGAGATGTCTGATGTTGTTCCTGGGATCTGTTGTAGCCACTGCTCCAGTTTGGGGGTTACTGCCCCGAGGGCCCCGATGACCACAGGCACCACTGTGGTCTTCACCTTCCAGGCCCTCTCCAGTTCTTCCCTGAGGCCCTGGTATTTCTCCAGTTTCTCCTTTTTCCTGATGTTGCAATCACTTGGTATTGCTACATCTACCACAACGGCTTTCCTCTGTTGTTTATCCACTACGACAATGTCTGGTTGGTTCGCCATTACCATTTTGTCTGTCTGGATCTGGAAGTCCCACAGGATCTTAGCTCTGGCGTTCTCCACCACCTTTGGGGGTGTTTCCCACTTTGATCTTGGGGTTTCCAGTCCATATTCTGCACAGATGTTTCTGTACACTATGCCTGCCACTTGGTTATGTCGCTCCATGTACGCTTTCCCTGCCAGTATCTTGCACCCTGCTGTGATGTGCTGGACTGTCTCAGGGGCCTCCTTGCACAACCTACACCTTGGGTCTTGTCTGGTGTGGTAGATCTGGGCCTCTATTGCTCTGGTGTTTAGGGCCTGTTCCTGGGCGGCCAGGATGAGGGCCTCTGTGCTGTCCTTGAGTCCAGCTTTTTCCAGCCATTGGTAGGATTTACTGATATCAGCCACTTGGGTTATTTGCTGGTGGTACATCCCATGTAGGGGCTTGTCCTCCCATGATGGTATCTCTGGCACCTCAACCTCCGTTCCCTGTTGTCTGAGACATTCACTGAGCACATTGTCTGTTGAGGCTTTGTCCCTGATGTATTTATGGATCTTAGTTGTTTCGTCCTAAATCAAACATCCATTCACACACACACACACACACACACACACACACACACACACACACACACACACACATATATATATATATATATATATATATATATATATATATATATATACAGAGCTGACTGGATAGCTCAATACATAAGGCATCAGTATATCACCCGAGAGGGCAGGGTTCGAATCCAGTCTGGGTCCTTAGGCAAGACCCTTCAAGCTACTGCCTACCTCATACCATGAGAGATACTAAGTTGCGTAACATGCCGGCTCAGACGTCGCCCGGCCAAACAAGGTCTGCGTCAGGTGTTGGGGAACCAGAGCACCTTGATGACAAATGGGCTACTGGAACAAGACGGAAATGGGCGAGAGATGAAAATGTGGATCTGTTGGAATGCTACTACTCAAGTAACCCTAGTGAGAGAGGTTACATGCAAAGACTGGGGAAGGAATGGTTACTTCGACATCCCCAGTCAACACTAAGCAAACAACTAAACAACTAGTAGCTCAGTGTTCCAACATCCGCAAACGGCAACTGCTATCACAACTTAAGATTGACGAGATACAACACAAATGCTACGGCAAAAGGGAGGAACCCGGAGATTGAGAATGTGAATGCAGCATTGAGAACGATCCCTACCAACACCATAACAGAAACCAATTAGCTGATCTACAACTCAGCATCAGCGATCCTTAGGATACTTGGCTATAAGAGCAACCATGAGACCCAATACCCACCATGGAAAAGACGGTTAGAGGCTACAATCAAGGTAACAAGGAGGGAAGTGAGCCAACTGTCAGAGCTCCACAAGGGTACAATGAAAAGACCAGTACCCAGAAAGTACAGGCAGATGCCCATACCTGAAGCACTTGAAACTGCCAAACAGAGGCTCCAAGCCTTGGCCAGCCGCCTAAAGAGATACACAAGGGAGAATGAATCCAGAAGGATTAACCGGCTCTTCTCCACTCAACCAGCTAAGGTGTACTCTCAATGGCAGGGTAATAACAACAGAGCAGACCCACCAAGGCTGGAGACTGAACAATACTGGAAAGGCATATGGGAAAGGGAGGCGTCCCACAACAGCAATGCACAGTGGCTGATCTCTCTACGAGAGGACCACAGCAACCTCCCTGAGCAAGCCCCGGTAACCATCACTGTGACAGATGTTCAAGAAAGAGTCTCAGGCATGAAAAATTGGACAGCACCAGGGCCTGACATGATCCATGCCTACTGGCTAAAGAAACTCACTGCTCTCCATGAGCGAATGGCAGCCCAAATGAACCAGCTGCTACAAAATGGGACTCACCCTGAATGGTTAACTGAAGGGCGGACAATCCTAATCCAGAAGGATCCATCAAAGGGTCCAGTCCCACCCAACTACCGACCAATAACCTGCCTCTCCACAACCTGGAAGCTCATGTCAGGCATCATAGTGGCCAAGATAAGCAAACACATGGATAAACACATGAGCACGGCACAGAAGTATCGGTGTAAATACCAGAGGAGCCAAACACCAACTCCTCATAGACCGCACAGTTGCCCGAGACTGCAAAACCCGACACACCAACCTGTGCATGGCTTGGATCGATTACAAGAAAGCCTATGACTCAATGCCGCATACTTGGATCATTGAATGCCTACAGATGTATAACATCAACAGGATTCTGAGAGCCTTCATTGCAAACTCGATGAAGCTGTGGAAAACCACCCTTGAAGCCAACTGCAAACCACTTGCACAAGTGTCCATCAAATGTGGCATATATCAAGGAGATGCTCTGTCCCCGCTACTGTTCTGCATAGGCCTGAACCCCCTCAGCCAAATTATCAACAAGACTGGCTACGGATACCGACTCAAAAATGGGGCCAACATCAGTCACCTCCTCTACATGGATGACATCAAGCTGTATGCCAAGAGTGAGCGAGACATCGACTCACTGATCCACACCACCAGGATCTACAGTACTGACATTGGGATGTCATTCGGACTAGAGAAGTGTGGTCGGCTGATCACAAAGAGGGGGAAGGTCATCCACACAGAAGGAGTCTCACTCCCACAAGGAACAATAGCAGACATAGAGGACAGTTACAAGTACCTAGGTATACCACAAGCAAATGGCAACCTTGATGAGGCCACAAGGAAAGGAGCCACAGCTAAATACCTCCAACGAATAAGGCAAGTCCTGAGAAGCCAGCTCAATGGCAAGAACAAAATCAGTGCGATAAACAGCTATGCCCTGCCAGTAATCAGATACCCTGCTGGAATAATTAGCTGGCCAAAGGAGGAGATAAAAGCCACAGATATTAAGACTAGAAAGCTACTAACCATGCATGGAGGGTTCCCTTCCAAATCCAGCACCCTGAGACTGTACACGAGCCGCAAGGACGGAGGCAGAAGACTAGTGAGTGTGAGAACCACTGTCCAGGACGAAACAACTAAGATCCATAAATACATCAGGGACAAAGCCTCAACAGACAATGTGCTCAGTGAATGTCTCAGACAACAGGGAACGGAGGTCGAGGTGCCAGAGAAACCATCATGGGAGGACAAGCCCCTACATGGGATGTACCACCAGCAAATAACCCAAGTGGCTGATATCAGTAAATCCTACCAATGGCTGGAAAAAGCTGGACCCAAGGACAGCACAGAGGCCCTCATCCTGGCCGCCCAGGAACAGGCCCTAAACACCAGAGCAATAGAGGCCCAGATCTACCACACCAGACAAGACCCAAGGTGTAGGTTGTGCAAAGAGGCCCCTGAGACAGTCCAGCACATCACAGCAGGGTGCAAGATACTGGCAGGGAAAGCGTACATGGAACGACATAACCAAGTGGCAGGCATTGTGTACAGAAACATCTGTGCAGAATATGGACTGGAAACCCCGAGATCAAAGTGGGAAACACCCCCAAAGGAGGTGGAGAAAGCCAGAGCTAAGATCCTGTGGGACTTCCAGATCCAGACAGACAAAATGGTAATGGCGAACCAACCAGACATTGTCGTAGTGGATAAACATCAGAAGAAAGCCGTTGTGGTAGATGTAGCAATACCAAGTGATTGCAACATCAGGAAACACGAGAAACTGGAGAAATACCAGGGCCTCAGGGAAGAACTGGAGAGGGCCTGGAAGGTGAAGACCACAGTGGTGCCTGTGGTCATCGGGGCCCTCGGGGCAGTAACCCCCAAACTGGAGCAGTGGCTACAACAGATCCCAGGAACAACATCAGACATCTCAGTCCAGAAATGTGC